TTTTTATTTATTTTTGATTAAACAGTTGAAGAGCAACAAGAATTGGGGGACAGTGGAGAGGGGTCGACGTGCTACACAGGGCAGAGGCTTGGAGTCGAACCTGTTGGCAAACCTGAAGCCTCTTATATTGGGCGACCTATTCAACCTACTGCGCTAACAGGCACCCAAAAGCTGTGTTGTGATTCAAATGTTGACCGCTTAGTTCAGTCTGATTTGGACTTGTTTGGATAAAGACTTCCAGAGGGAGGGATTCAGCTATGGACAAGGTTCTGTCAACCTCAGATCCGGTGCTAGGAGAGTGATGGAAACATCAGGTTGCCATCAGAGGACAGAGGTGACGTGGTCGCTGGCAAAAGGGTTGGTTAGTTTGAAGGCAAGCAGTTGAGACACTTGTATCTAAAACATTAGAGCAACATGCTCTCGTACTTAGCTAACACATACATTCATAACAGATGTCATTTAAAGCATGTTCACAATCTTCCTTTAGCACCCAAGCATGCTAACATTTTTGGATTGTCATGAAAATAAAGTACAGCTAAGGTTCATGAGTAAGTCAAAAATGTTGCAGGTTTTCGGGCAGAAGCTCAAGTGTTGTTGATCGATGAGTCCTGAAATCAACATGAGTTTTATCTTAAGAGCTACCGTCTACCAATAAGACAACATGACATGAAAAACAATGAGAAATAGATGGACCGTAACAGGGTCAAAACATTTTGTGTATTGATTCGGAGACTTTGGTACCACTCTCATATTTTCTAAAAACCCCACAGCCAGACTATGATTAAAACAGGATCTCACTCACGAAGCCTCTTCAGTGTCTGTAACAATCATCCTGCTGTCAAGGTCTTCAAAAACAAATCCTCAGCTGCACAGGAGTGCGTGACACATTTCAGTTTTTAATTAGCAGCAACAGAAGTTAATTTAGAACAAGCAGGAGAGAAAAACAGCTGAACTGACAACGATAAGAGCACCACTTACAAAACTCTAACTTTGTCAAATTAAGAACCAAAGGACTCCGACTGCACAAGTTCGATTCTCATTATTTGATCTCCAAACAGTGCAGAGTAGGAACTTCTAAGTTTTTTTTTTTTTTTTTACTTAAAACCAAAAATAGACACGTTGTTTATGAGGAAAGCAGCAGATTTCAGAAAGGTGGTGCTTTACCTGTAGTGAAATTCCATGTTGAAAGTTAATAGGATCCCTCTAGTCTGACTGAGCTGGAGGTCGGAGCAGATTTATCTCTCGGCAGCGTGGTGTCATCATGTTAAACTGTCCTTTAAAGAAGAAGCTGTAACCTCCACCTTATGTTTACCATCAGCACTGATAGCTGTCGCTTGTACAAATGAAGAATCCACCGTGTTAATCTGCCCCGTTACAATGAGACCCAGTTCGGATTATTTTTTTGCCTCTGGAATAAATTTAAGGAGTAACTGCAAGCCAAAGAATATTTTTTTAACTGAATGAAAATAATGTTGATTCATAGCAGTTGTCTTGTTTTAAAAATTAGATACACATTTCCTGGCTTCACACCCTTGGATATAATTTATAAGGTAGGGTTTTACTCTCATATCTGTTATTGATAGCCTCAGGAGGGTGTTAGATTGATTTGTGTTTGACTTTTAATTTCTTTTAATTATTTTTGTTTTACCTTAAGACTGTCTTTGACACGCCTCATATTATGGAATCTATGTAGACACACTAATTATTTGATTTACAATTACCAATACTTTCATTCGAAACAAATATGACACTCTTAACAGATATGTCTGGTAATTTGACTCAAGCGTCACTACTTCATGGGTAATGTGAATGGAGGTTAACTGGTTAAAAAAGTTAAGAGTGGGATAAAAGAAGAAAACAGTGATATAATGATTGACAGCTGTCACTGCCGTCTTTATTAATTATGCAATCTTCAGTCAATCAGATATTGTGATATGATTGTCCTACAACACATTGGTTATTGAAGAATCACTATAAAGTAATATTGTTGGACCACGCCATGTATCGTATCATGAGATACCCTGCAATCCCCTCTGCAAATGCTAAGTTACCCAGAGTATAAAGCTAAAATTCCATCATTAATTTTAAAGAAAAAAGGACATTATAGCCCTTCTTAAAGGTCATAACGTCCAAACTGTCAGTTTGAAGCTGCTACATAAACAGTGACATTACAAACAAGGCCTCTTGAGGTCACTTCAATCAAAGGTCAACAATTCAACAACTAAAATGCCACATTTTGGACACCAGCTCTGAAATGCAAATCTATGAGTTTTCATCCACACCCATCTCAGCACCATCATCATCAACACTGTCTGTCTCCTTTCCTGCTTTAATTATCAAGTTTATGTTCCTAACAGCTCATAATCATAATTCATAATTATATATCATTTGAAAAACAAGCGTCAGTGGACGTTTGACGACGGAAAACAAATTAGGTGTCTTGCTTATGAAATGTTTGGGAAATGATGAACCGCTAGTTATCATTCAGACCTGCATCAGTCGCACACCAGCTGCTTTCACAGCACAACAATATGAGAGAAGGACTTCTATTGTTAATTATTCTTTAATCACATCACAACTTTGGAAATGAAACACTTTTAATGAGCTGATTTCAGGCTTTGTAAAGCTCTGTACAGGTTTTAATCAGTGACATGCTTACCAATCTGACACTGTGTGATTTCATATGCCAACAGTTCTCAAGATAATGAAACTTGACCTGCTTGGAGAATAACCTATGAGCTGGGATAAACTAACATGACTATATGTAGACCAACTACAGCCTAAAAATGAATATCCTCCATGACAATCAATGCATCCATGGACAAATTTCAGGACAGCACTGCAGACAGAGATTTTTTCTGTTGCACTGAATTAAAATGTTGTGGTGAGTCTCCAAGTCATTCATTCTCCACTTTGGACTAGACTGATTCATCTCAATTACTATGTGATGGATTTCCATCAGAGGGTGGTTGGTTCCAGCTCAATAAATCCTAAAGACTTTGGTGAAACTCTGACTTCCCCTCTTATTCCACACTGAAGTTTACTTCTCTGATTGTTTTAGGGGAATATTTTTTAATAACTATTGGATAGTTTGCTATAATTAAATGAACATACATTTGCCCCCTCGAGGAACATTTTAGTAACTTCTCTGAACTTTTGACCTTGTATCAAAACTTCAGTTTCATCAACACACTGGTCTTCGAGAAAACACTTTTATGAAATGAACCAGACTCTACTGCACTTTGTGCTTAAAGCTACCTCAAATGGTAGCATGCTAATATATTACACTAAAATGCTGATATGGTAAATACCTGCTAAATAGAAGCATGTAGGCATCGTTAGGCGGAGCATGTTATCTTACTGGTATTACTATTAATCAAATTTCAGCTGTGCCAATCTTCAACCTCACAGAGGAACTACCATGTCTATAGACTCTTGATCTGACTTTCCAATGAATTGCTGGATGATTGCACTGATGAAGGTAATCCATCTGTCATTTGGGTACATTTGTCACAGCTAGTAGACATCTCCAACATGTGATGAACTAGACAAACAAATGTTCCTGACTTTTCAAGCCTAAACAATTGAGAATCACAGATTCAGAACAAACCAACCCAGAGTTTGGTTGCTGTCAATGGTGCTGATCCTGACAGAGGATAGACACTGGAGTTTCATTATCTAAGAGCAGGAATCCTGATAACAGTAACAAAAGTCATTACGACTGTAAGGACATGTTTTTCCAAACGACGCATTACCTAAGGCAGTAAAATCTTGTGGTATTTCTTTCCCTTTACTGAAGGACCACCCTGTCATGGAAATAGTTACAAAGCATTCTATTACCTTGTATTTATGAGGACAATATAAACTGAATTAATATAAAGTATTAAGCATTGATATAGTATAACGATAAAAGAAGTATGTAAGTGTATTTTTTTTTTCTGATTTAAATATTTGAATAGCTTTTTGTGTCTTTTGTAAAACACACATTTTTAAACAAACTTTGAACAATATTTGCTTATTATTTGATAGAATTGTTCTTAATAAATCCCTCCATATTTACAAATAATTTTTCAATTCTTACATAATTTGAAAATTATTTTGATAGGACTCCTCTTAAATGTTCATTTAAAAAAGGGGATTTTATTTTATTCTGTATTCATTGTCCCCTCATAACTACCTTTTAAATGCCTTTCTCTTTATGTTATTCATGGAAAAGTCTAAGACTCCTTGTTGTATTTTGCATTAAGAGGAAGGGGGGCCTCTCGGGGGAGTGCGTGGCCGTCTGCCCTGCCGGGGGCGGTGGAGGCTGTGGGTGTTCTCTGTAAGACTCACTTCAGACATTACTCATCTTGTTTGGACAAACCTCGAGTGAAGGAGCTTCTTGACTGTGTTTTGTGTTTGAAGATGATCAAAGCATACTTTTTTTTTCTTAGGTTGAAAGGTCATGATTCATACACGGCTGGTCTGCTGTTGATGATGAAAGGATTATACATGTTGTTATTGATTGGCCCACAGGGCTCCTGCATCATTCACAGGGGACAGCCTGTTGTTTACTTGTTATGGTGAGCTGTTCAACTACACAAAAAAGTGTGCCTCTGAACTTTTTTTGTAAATACAAAGTGAATTTTACAACTTGTTTCACTATTTATGTTCACAGATGTAAATGGGTGTTTAAAACTCGTGAACTTTCAGTAAAGCAGACATATGGTTGTACAGCTGAGGGCTGCTGTAGTGGAGATGCATTTACATTTACATTAACATTTTTGATCCTGAGCCGAGGCTCTTAAACAGAACGACCTACAGTAAGAGCAGCTATTCGAATAATTTAAAACCTCAGATCAACTGCATGACAAAGCCCAAAGGAGCAAAGAGTACGAAGGTCAGAGAACATTGCATCCTGGAAACTATAGATCGTTTTTATTATAATACAAATGATTTAAATGTCTTTATTTAATGCAAATGAACATTGCCGTGAAAGAGCTGTCTTTGTGTTTCTGCAGGATCCAGTCCGGCTCCTACCTCAGCACCGGCTGGTTCACACTCATCCTCGCCATGGACATGTGCAAAGAGATCCATATCTACGGCATGATAAATGACACCTACTGCAAGTAAGACACCAACTATTACACACACACACACACACACACACACACACACACACATATACTTTCTTTGTATTGGGAAGAAAATTGGAAAAACTCATACAAAAAGTTCAAAATCTACATTCACATTCACAGCAGAGATGTCCAATCGCAGCCCTCCATAACCACGGCCTGCAACTGTTGGAATACATTTCCAATGCCTCGGCTTGGATTTAATGGCGGAATTTTTTTGTTGTTGCTGATATCCATATTGGTTTCTCTGTGCTGTGAATACCATTATGTTTTTCCTGCATAGAATGCCCAACAGTCTCTGTGGGGCTGCAGCACTCAACACCTCCCCATCTTGGACACTGAACAAAAGGGACCTGTATCTAAAAGAATCTGATAGTATGCAAGTTTATGGATCCGTCACATATCTGCTTTAAATATCATTGTCCACTACATATCCCTTAAAACACCAAATCCACATATCACCAAGATTGCAAATCTACCAAATGGCTTCACAGAATTATTTAAAAAACTTACGAGATGTGAAGGATATCATTGTCACTGATCTGTAATACTGAAACCTTTATCTGAAAGATTCTGGGCATGACACAGACTCTTAAAGGTGGCACGTTTACTGTTTTGTCAGAGATGCTAGCATAACATATTTTGTTTTTTGGCCTAATCTGTTTACAAATGCAAAGAAAGCAAATTTAGTTGGAGACTCCTCTTGTAGATCTCAGACCTGTAAACTCAAATCTAATCAAAAACGCACTGAAAAATGTAATCGTTGCTGGATTATTTATGGGGTTATGAGACGTATTTTTTTCAGGATTGGTTGCTTGTAACCCGGCCATATGAGGGATGACAAACAAGACGCTTGTTGCTCCAGGCATGTCTGCTCAGTCTCCAGTCATGTCAGCCTTGATGGGCTCGACTCTTACCATTTTAGTGTCAAACAAAGTCATATTGACAGCCGCCTGCTCAAGTTTTACAAGCAGAAAAAGGAGAAGTGATGTTCTGTGTTTCAGTGCTGGTAGCTTTAGTCAGAATTGACCTCAGCTGTAGTTTGGTAATGGTGCTTCAACAGGTGCCGCAGAGACGGAGGAATCGAATTTGAGTTCACTCTGGTGTGTGACACAGAGGCAAGACGCACTGATTGGGTTGTGTGTATTACTGTTTGCTGGCAGACAGCCACAGTCGCTGTCTGCCTGGGTGCAGTGATGGCTGTTTTTCTTCGGGCCTGTGTTCATTCTCCCAATTACACTGAAACACAAGCTAGCCGCTTATAAAACCATCTGTTGATATTAGAAACCATTGACTGTATATAGCGATGGAGGACACGTCTCCACCTCCGCCTGAAGTTCAAAAGTGATGCCAAAATACCCCAGACCACAGGGGCTGGCATATTGTGCTTGTGACGTCATTAAAGCCAGAGTTGCACTGTAGACTCTGCAGCAGTTTTGATGTCCCACCTCTTTAGCTAATCAAAACACTCCTGTTGGCAAAGTCTACAGCAGAACAGATTCTTCTGTCAATTTGAGGCAGACACTCGTTGGCTTGCCTTTCCTCCTCTACTCTGCTAAGCAAGTGCCCACAGCACCACAGGAACTGCATTTGTCAACACAGCTGCCAATCACGGCATTTTAAACCTTATTTTAGCATCACATATCTAATTAAAATAAAGTTCTCAGAATAGTTCAAACTTAAGACATAAATCAGCATGATAAGAACGAACTCTGTTTAGACAGAAACTTATGTTTGAGAAAAATGTATTTCATATATGTTTTGAATGTTTGACCCATGCACCGTCTGTTAGTATTGAAGATGCGGAGCTTATGATGTATATTGCAGCCAGTCAGTAGGCGGAGCTCCAAATGTTTTAGCTTCACTTTTGGGGAGCTGTCGTTTTATAAGTACATGCAGGTTAGATTAAAACAATGTTGATCAAGCGGCGGCTGTGGCTCAGTTAGTTGTCTCTCAACCAAAGGGTTGGGGGTTCGATCCCCAGCTTGTGCAGCCACATGTCCGATGGGTCCTTGGGCATGACCATTAACCCCAAATTGCTCCAGCTGTTTTGTCGTCAGCGTATGAATGGGATTAGTTGCTTCTGATGACCACTTTACATATGTCTACATGGCGCTAGATATTCAAATTTCTGATCGTATCAGACACTGTTTGGACTTTTAAAATGCATGTAAACATCTTAGTCCGACCTACATCGAACCAAAATCGGACCATAACGGACATCTCATAATCGGACAAGAACACCTAGATAAGTCGTTGATAGTCGACAAACTAACAACTCAGCCGTTGTATCGTAATCAGATTTCACGTTCTGCGCATGCTCGAGAATTTCCGCCGGGGCTTTCACCTGGAAGTGGAAGGAGACGACGTAATAAATAGAAGTGTTGTTGCCGGAAAGGTCAAATGACACCATGGCTTTGATGATGCATTATTAGAATATAAATAATGCACAAAATGTACGTAGCTGTAGCGTCGTCCATCTCCTCGTACGCCATCTTTGTTTGAATGACGCCAGATAGTTTGTTGTTGCTGTGACGTATAGGTCAACCGGAAGTGGCTCTAGAACCACTTGTTGAAAGGGGTACGGCGCCACATAGCGTAGCGGAGTCAGCCATGCTCCGGCCATTTATACAATTCTCTGATCGGCATATATACTCAGACAAGTGACAGCTGCTCAATCAAGTAGCAAATCGGTATATGGCTTAATCCTATCAAGCTATCCCATGTCAACGCACTGACAGTGAATATGTAGGTGTGACCTTTGAGTAGTCAGAAGACTAGAAAAGTGCTATACAAGCTCAAGTCCACATACCATCAAATTTATTGGGCCACAAATAGCAGCTGTAGGTCGTTGGAATAAAATAAACCTGCTGAGTTGAAAAAGTTACAAAGGACACTAAAAGTCCAAACTGCTGAATGCGTGTTAATCTCCTGTTACACAGTCAATCATTTTATTTATTGCAAATACGATGTTTTAAAGCTGAATCAATACCAAGCACACTTGGAATTTGCTGACTTGTATTCTCCCTAATGTGGTCTCATGAACAGAATCTTGCTAAACTAAAACAATACTTACTTTATTTTCAAGGTTGATATTTTGTATATGTGCAGGAACACTTAGCAAATTGAAGGAAACATCATGTGTCTGCTTTGAAATAAAACAAACGCCAGGCTGAGGGCTACAGTGCAAATCATAAACACAAGTATATCTAAATACAAACACAAAATCATATTACCAAATTGAAAAGATGTCAAAACCAAGAGACTGCTTTCTTAAATTAAGCATACATTTTTTTATGGACGTAAAGCACATTTCCAGAACCACATTTTTTTGTTTTTTTGTCGAGAATGAATTCAGTGGTATTGGAGCTTCAACAGGTGCCGCAGAGACGGAGGAATCAAATCTGTGAGTCGTTAATGTGTTAATGTAGCTGCAGTCAGACTCCTACGTTTAACCTTCATTGTGACGATGTGACGAGCTGCTCTGATTACATCATTTCTGATCTGATTAGATGTGATCGATCAACTAATCACATGCTGAACAGCATCAGAAAGAGGCTGTCACATCTCATCTCATTGTCAATTTGCCAACTTGATGACGCTCATTAAATCCACAAGCTTCTAATGCCGAACCATCGCTTGTTTTTAAACAGTGTGTCGTCACATCTTTCTCTTTCCTCTCCCCTGTAGGACGGAGGGTTACAGAAAGGTTCCGTACCACTACTACGAGGCGGGCAGCCGGGATGAGTGTGCAGAGTATCTGCTCCATGAGAGCGCCCCCTACGGCGGGCACCGCTTCATCACCGAGAAGTCTGTTTTCGCAAAATGGGCCAAAAATCATGCCATCAAGTTCTTCAACCCTCCCTGGACGCTGTCGTGACCCTGGCTGAACCACCATGGAAATACAACAAGACCGTTATCATTACCATCACCGTCATTATTCTGGAATACTCTGAATATTAACACTGACAGAAACGTTCCCTAACGCACAGGGTGGTTGAGTTTTTTTTTTTGTAGAGTCCTGGATGGCTGATAACCAGGAAATGTTGTTTTGTTTTGGACACTGGCCACTCAATCAGACTTTTAAAATAGAAGAAAAAAAATATCTCCTGCTTCTTGGAAATTAGGACTTTTTCCTCTTCAATTTGAGAGCAGGAGAGAGAGCGCACAGCACGCCACCCTTCATTGACGAATCGATCCATCGCTGCTCTGTGAGTTTAGCAAAGAGCGGCTTGAAGAATAACTTTTACAAATAAAAAAAGTAAACACAGCATGAAGACGAAAACAACCATCCGTCAACTCACAGTGACCTCAGCAGCTCACATGTCTGCAGGCACTGGATTTACTTCTTTTTTTTTCTTTCTAAGACTGTAGCCGAAGAAGAGCTCAGCAGCTGCAGAGACGAGTCCTGTTGCCATGGACGTCGGACGAGCTCACCTGCAACAGTTTCCTCTGTCTGTCTTCTTCTGTTAGCCTGTAATTAATCTATAACAAGTATAGTTCAGGCTTTCATCTCTGATTGAGGGAGGGTTGGAGCAATTCACTCTGCTTCAGTAAGGAAGCACCAGCAACCTAGATTTTAGGAAATAGAAAAGAAGCAAAAAACAAAAGTAGAGATGATTATGCTCGGTTGTTTTGATGTGTGTTTACTCACACTACTTAAAGATGTCAGCTTGTTTTTTGTAACGATGCTGTGAAATAGAATTTTTAGAAGAGACCTGTTTTTGGGGTTGGCTTGATATCTGAATGAGTTGCTAATTTATTCTGCGGTCTCTCTAATGCTCTCTAACAGTGTGTGTGCCATCAACAATGTAAGCATCACAGCACATGGAGCAATGTGCAATTAGAAACTCCATCCTCACGGACGGAGTTAAATCATTTGTGATCCCGCCGAGGGAGAGATTTATGTGTGCAGTGAAACCATTTGAAGTTAATTGTATTCTATTATCATTCTGTGCCTGCAATATACTCTGCAGTTCATTTCTGAGGCGGCGCAGGAAGATGCTCTGCGTCATTCTCGTTCATGTTGTCATGCAGCTTTGTGCCTCTCTGTGTACAGTATCACTGGTATCACTGTGTGAACGCAGCCTCCCGTTTGTCTTTGGAAGCAGCGGACCATTCTCCTGGCTCAGACCATTACACCTGAATGCATCAGTTCCAGGATGGTGGATGGAAGAATAATCACAGATGTGCTGAGTTGTGTGGGTTGGCTGGTGGCTGTGGAGGGCTGAGACTCTCCGGCTGTGACTGTGACCCCCTCTCGAGACTGTGATTAGTGTCCCTGGGCCCAGAGGAGGACGATTCAAAGACTTCTTACTGAGACCTGCTGTATAGGGTCCCTGACGACTGTAATGTACTACAGCTGAGCTTCACAGTATCACTCCTACTGCAGACCACTGTTCACTATCACACACAAGCACTCCTTTGTGGGCTATTTTCACTCACCAAGCATCCTTTAGGTGGTTTGCAAGCCAAAAGAAAGACGGGTCAAACAAGCACTATATCTTGACGGGGCCACTAACCACTGAAGATTCTGAATATGTGCAGTCTTGTTTCAGGCAACCTGGTAAGGATTGTATGAGCCGGTTACTGCATTTTTACACAAGTATTTGAAAAATGTCCCGGACAATGATCAAATATAGAATGAAAGTTTTAGCATTTATTCAACCATTTTTTACGTTCTTGACTGAGCGCAGTACAATTAAGATCATCATGTTGGAGATCAAAATGTAATGGAATTTTTAATGAATGAAACGAATCGATTATAAAAGTAATCAAAATAAATCAAGGCAATACATTTTAATTAGTATGTATGTTTTGGGGCTTTTCTTACCTTTGTTTACAGATAGGACTGTAAAGAGAGTTAGAAATCAGGGAGAGAGAGAGAGTGGGGAATGACATGAGGGAAAGCAGCCCTGATTGGATTTCAACCGAGGACACCCATTTGGAGGAGCACAGCCTCCGTACATGGAGTGCATAATCTAACCACTAAGCTAACAGCGCCCCAATATATTCTTAAATTTCATTCTTACATTCAGACTGTAGCCCTTTAACTGAGACACATGCCACTATTAAATGACTACCCTGTGAGGTGATCTACATCATAACTACACATCCACTCCATTTCTTGAAATGCCGTTTAAAAAAAATGATCATGAGGTGACGTAAAACAATTTTTTTTCAAAAATCACAAATGAAGAAGTCAGGATTTAATGAACTCTTCCTAAAGTTAAACCAGAGGGATCAGAGTGTAGATTTAGTTTGTGGTTCTTGCCTGCGAATAGCACATTCAGATGGCTGCAAGTGTGTCTAATTGGTTGAGCATAGGTGGCTCAAACTTTCGTACAACAATCATTCCCTCGGAATTAAGCAAGCATGGTTTGCAGTTAATTGTACTTTATTGCCAAATTAAAGAAACTTCAACAATCTATCATGATAGAAAAAAGTGAAGTTTCTGTTGGCTCTTTGGTTTCCTTTTCACATCATGTTGCAAATTATGTGAGCAACATGTTTCTAAAAAAATGACTTTTTTTATGCATGATGTTTGGAAAATTGCACCCCAAACATGTTCGCTAATCAAAAGTCTTATTCGCCTAAACTCCTCTGTTCTTCAGATGCAGTGAAGACACAAAGAGAAAAGTGCGGATCAGTTTTTCATTTAGTCTGAGTTTAGTCATTTTAGTTCCAAACACTATTTTGTTGAAATAGGTGAACTTTACAGGACGCTTCATTTCAAACTGTTTTGTCAAACTTATTTACCAAAGTGAGGAATGACTTAGTCTAAATCCATCTACAGTACATGACAGCTGAGCAAAAAGAAAATCCTAATGAAGATTGTGTTACATGTTTTTAAGTTGCAGAAAGAATGATATTTTATAGTTTTTAATTTAATGTCTATTTTGGCTTGCAAACCACACAAACCCTGCCCTCCTGCCCTCTTGGCACTTTAGTGTCGGCTGTATGTTCAGAAACATGTTCAGATACCTGGAACAGGATAAATCTGATCTCTCTCTCAGTTTTCCAGACACATCTTGGCACCCTCAGCGCCTGCAAAGAGTGTCCTACAACTCAGACTCATTGTAAGTCAACCTTTCTGACAGGAGTGTCATCAAAATGTAAAACTGCCCTGTTTTCAATTTTAAATTCTCCTCAGTGTTGCTCAGCAGATAGGAGGCACCTCAGACACGGGCGGGGTCATGGTTCCCATTTCCTCTGGGACGTCCCTCGCTGAGGACATTTGCTGTAATTCAGCTTTATGAGCTGCTGCAGATCGAAGCTACACCACATATGTAAAGTGTGTGGGGGGGGTGTCCTGTTCAGAAATCCTGAAGAAAAGGTCTTGGGTAGAGTAAGATTCTTCTTCTCTGTTCTAGTGGGAAGACGGCCCTGAGAGTATGACTAACACATCTTTTCTACATTTCCACTCAGCCTGTGATTGTGCAGTCATCTGGCAGCTCCCCACCGATCAGACTTACCTCTGCTGTACAGTTTTCCCACCATCAATTGTATAGCGCTTCACACAAACAGAAGAGATTACATTCTTGCTGGAAGACATTATTTGTAACACCGTGACTTTAAGTGTGTTTTTAATTGTTGTTCCCATGCAGAAAAAAAGAACACTATGTTCCTTTTATGAACTTTCACTACTCCTCTGTTGTTAATTAATGTTTTTATTCTTTTATTTTGTTGATTCAGTGGTTTGTGTGCAGAATTTTTTCCTGCTGCAGGTCGTGTGTTGCCAACATTTTCTGCTGCTTCAGGCAGGGCTCTCGGTTGTTTTCTGATCAACAAACACTCCATTGTTCTCAGCCAGAGCACACTGTAACGCTGCCCGCCCATGTATTATACAGTACATTATGGAGAATACACCCTCCTATAGGCTCCCATGAATCATCTGTGGCTCGCAGGAGCAGACACGTTCACTGTGAATAAGTAACAGCATGAATAAAAGTGTGAGCAGAGTGGGGGGCATACCACCGGATACTTTCATTTTCAGGGTTGTATCGTTTTTAATTCAGAGATTTTTTAAAGCTTATTTTATTATTAACTTTTTTTTTTTTTTTTTTACCAGGAGTAACATGAGAGGTTGTTGATACCTCTTCCATACATGTATAGTAAATCTGAAGCTACAGCCATTACCATCTTAGTTTAGCTTAGCTTAGCTTATCTGAGCTCAAAGACTGGAAGCAGGAGGAAACAGATAGCTCGGATCCAATGTAACTAAATTCACCACAGACAACCCTGAGCACTAAATCTTGTATGTTTATGAAAACCAAATGAAAAAAAAATAATTTGTTGTTTTTACAGATGGTTAGTCTGAGATCTGTAGCTGGAAGCAGCTGGACAACAATCTGAGACTCCAGGAGGTTACTGTAGCATACCTGGCCAAGAAGTCAAGCTTAACTCCAGTTTTCTGTTATTCAATACTAACCTTCTTGTCTTTCTGCTATGATGAAGCATGTTCCTGCTTCTTTTACTTCATTAGCATCCACTTTACCACTAGCTTAGTTTTGTCCATTTCAATAACATTTGCCTACATTTTGCTAATTCTTTGCAAAAACATTGATCTGTATGCTTTTGCCCCAAATCATAAATACAATAGACTGAATACAGAGGCCTTCCTCTTTAGAAGATTCTGATTGAACATGTCAGGCTGATAGAAATTTGTGTTTGTTGATACTTCAAAGCAGATAACTGGCGACCAGATATGTTCACCTTAAACAACATGTTGTTGAGAAAGGCTCTGAAGGTTTGTTTCTGATTTTTGTAGTTAATAGAAATGCTACAGAAGTCCATGTTATTTTAAAATATGGCTCTCAATAACCTCCAGCATAATCACAACCCATCATTTGGTCGCTTTTCGTTCTGATTTAACAAGTGAGATATCTTCTACATATCGGTGAGATTTACACGGACAGAGCTCAGCTAGTCTTTGTGCTCAGCTAAGGTAACTTGCTGCTGGCTATAGCTTCAAACTTTCTCAACAGATGAGAGAGCTGTAAGAATATTATCACATATCTCTCTGCATTCAAGGGAATATTTCCCCATTTAACATTTTACCTTAGTTGTATTTAGTACTTTTGTTGTTTTTGTCCAACCTTGTATTTTTGCTCTTATGCACAGCTTACCCATCATTTAAACTGGCCTTATTTTGTGTTCGAAACAGTGAAGTTTGGTTTCATATTATGCAAATGAAAAACACCCCTGTAGAAACTGCCTTTCCTCAGCTGCTTTGTCGCTGGAATGAACGCAGATTGTTCA